TTATTGATGATTTTTCAAAGAAAGTGTGGGTTTTGTTGATTGAAAATAAATCTGAAGTTTTTGATAAGTTTAAAAACTGGAAAACCCTTGTTGAAAAACAAACCGGTAAGAAAATAAATTTTTTAAAGACCACTGTCAGTTTTGATTTCTGTGATGATCAGCTTGGAGATTTATGTGATACTTGGGGTATTTCTATGCATAAATCTGTTCCCTCCACACCCCAACCGGATGGGGTTGCTGAGAGGATGGTTAGAACGTTATTAGAGAGGGTGAGGGCTATGTTAGCTTCATCTGGGCTCTCTAATAAGTTCTGGGGGGAAGCTATTTGTTATGCTGTTGATTTGATTAATCTGTCCCCGTCTGTTCCCTTAGGAGGGAAATGCCCTGAATCTGTGTTCATGGGCAAACCACTTAATTTGCCAAATTTGAGAGTGTTTGGTTGTGCTGCTTATGTGAATCGTGTGAATGATAAATCTGAACTTAGGACTAAGGAATATGTTTTCTTAGGATATCATGATTGCATGAAAGGTTATAGGCTTTGGTGTAGGAGTGAAACTTGCTTCAATGTGTTGATGAGTAGAAATGTCATTTTTGTTGAAAATGAATTTCCTTGCCTGCTTGTTTCTCCTGATGTTGCTCCAAATGAGGTGGAGCATTTGCCTGATGTTCATTCTGATTTATTTGTTGAAACCAAACCCAAATTTGTGAATGAAAATGTTTTTCATTGTGAAAATAAAGAAAATAATATTTCTATTAAGGTGGAGCATGATATGAATGTTGTGTGCAATATGCTTGAGTTGCGTGATTGCCATGTTATTAGAGATAGAGACATTAGGAAGCATGTGAGAAATTATATGTGCAATGTGTTTGACTATATTTCCTCTGAGTTTGCTTTAAATGTGCTTAATTCTCTTTTAATTAAAATCTTTGTGATATTTGGTATGCTATTTTCTTTGTGTTTTGAAAATGTGATACCAAGTGATTATGTGAGCTCTACCTGTGCTAGTTATAGAAATAATATTGTTTCTTTTATTTTCTTTGTGCTTGTTATGTGTGGTTGTTGGATTAGTTGGAATCCCCAACTTCTCCCAGATGCTTGCTTGCGTGGCTTATTAACATGTGTTGTGCTTGTTAATAGTTTTGTGATGGTTTTGGTTCTGAACTCGAGGACCGATTGGTAGAGTTCAGTCCATCGTGAAGTGGGTTTGCACGGTAAGCTTGGTCCGAAAGGGAACTTTGGTTCTCATATATTACTTGTATGATCGCAATGATGTACTTGTAATAATCCGGCGATGATGAGTCTCCTCACAACTTTGTATTGCTACTCTACACCACCTAGGACCAATAAGGTGGAGAATGTTGGAGGTATTGGTCCTACCAAGGCCTCCCTTCCACTTTATTATTGACTTGCACCCCATGTTTACTCCCACTTTGGCACCTCTTTATTTGAATCTCTCCTAACCAATAATATGGCCATTTTGACTTATGTGGAGTGACCCCTTTGAGCTGTCCTATGCTGCCCTCCTTGTCTTTGCATCACATGTGAGTGTCCTTGTGTCTACCAGCCTATTATTTAGTAGCTTTGCTTCTCCCTTGTTGAGGCAGCCTGCGTGAAAAACTAGAGTGAGCAGTGCCCTTCTTCTTCTCCATTTCCTTTGTGTGAGAGTGTGAGAGAGAATACCTTAGTGGTAGAGAAGAAGCTTGGAGTTGTGTTGTGGTCTAGCCTAGAGTGGTGTGTGAGAGTATAGCAAAAGGGTTGGAGACCTGAGCCGGAAAGAAATCGACTCCAAACATGTTTCTTCAGACATAAAGTTTTTGGAAACGGAAATAGTAGGGCAATAGGGAGATTCGAGATGGCCCCAAACCATTCGGAATTTCGGATTTCGGACAAGCCTTTGAACGCCACCCTCTCATAATTTTATTTGTTCACTTATAAGCATTTTTTCCATCACTTATAATTTTTGTTGCACAAAGCAAATGTTTGGCTAAGTCAAGTGAGGTTATTAAAAACTAAAAGCACATATATAAGCATAAAAATCCACTGTTACGATGTTGTGCATGTTTAGAGTAGTCCTTCCGTATTAATTTCAAAACTAATACCGAAGACTAATCAAAACGATTTTGACATTATTTCTTTATACTATATATTATATTTATTATGCTCTATAAAATTAAACCATACATAATACTTGTAATATTTAAATCTCGCACCCCTCTCCCCTTTGAAAAAGTTAAGCAGTATGACTGTCTATTTGTAACATTATTTGAATCTCATTTTTTTTAATTTTAAATATTGTTAGCATTTTAAAACAATAAAACCTGCCACGTTTAAGAGTTTTTAAATCTCAAATTCATCAAGAACCTAAAATTCCACCAGGTAAATTTGGGAGGTAAATATGGGGAGTATACAAAACAAAGATATCCCATTCCACAACAATGCAACTTGAGATGATCACTAAGCTACTAAGGGCATCTCCATCCATAGGATTATTAGATGATTAAGTTGATGATGTAATATATGATTTTTTGGATCATGATCGGGTGATGAAGATTATTTGGTGAGATTATTTTGTCTCTACAAGTAAACTACATCAAGTAATTAATATTTCACGTACAACATTACCTCAAATACATTAGTATGATACCTATTTTAATACATTATTGTTATTAAGTATTTATTGGGCATGGACTGTCGCGCCTTGGGCGGCCAAATGCTAGTTAAAAGATAAGTATCACTAAAAGATGCTTATATTTATCCATGTCAGTAACATATTCAGTAGAAAAGTGTATTCTGCTTTTCTTATAATTTTATACTTGTATTTTATAAAAACGGTTGCCAAAATCACAAAGAGATAAGATTTTGCTGAATGTAAATCATTTATTACAAAAAATTGACAATTTGGTGAAACCATCTATTAATATGGTAATCAAATTTGTAACAATTGCTATAATTCTATTTCAAATTTCTGCTTGCAATTGATGTAGGAAAACAATGCTAGAAAGCCTTCTGAAAACTTTAATATCTACAATATACTACGTAGTATTTCTAAATAACAAAAACATTTACTTATTATAAACACTTTTTTATGTTGCCATCTTTTACAGCATACATCCATGAGACAATTAAAGACTCTTCAAATTGCCTTTTTAAAAAATTGATGCTACCATGAAAGGACTATAAACTTGCTTATTTACATACTCGAATTCGGAATCAACTCTTTAAGAGTGCGCTATCACTCTAATTTGAGTTTTTTTTTAAAATCAAATATAACAAACATGTTTGTAATAAGTTATCATTCTACAACATTCCTTTTCACCCTTCTACTTTTCCAGGTTGGGCTATTTTGCATAAAAAAAACGTCCGCGTAAGTAGAAAGTAGAACAACATTTTAAAAGTCTAAATTTGGTTCTATTAAAAACAATATTTAATATATGAGCTAAGTTACCAATTTAAAACTTACCTCTTCACTATGGAATATTCATACAAATGAAGGTGAAACACTATCATGGGGTGCATACAATCGTACCCCATCCTCTATAGTACTGGCCGTGTGGATTTGCTTTGGTTAACATCTTTTACCAAACCCACCAAAAGCTCCATAAGCTGTGTTTAGAATAAAACTGATTTGCTCATCACACGTTCCAGTATTTATATGCAGGTACTCGATCCTTTTAAAGCTGAACATAGAGCATACATTAAATGCTACATTGGGGAGTCAAGCATGAAATGTGCTTGCCTACAAAACAACCAATCAGAATCTTCTTGATTGGGGAACTGGTGGGCTTATCACAAAACCACCCATCAGAATCCTTCCCGATGTTGGAATTGTTAATTACAAATGTATTTGCCGATTCTCTATTTGTAAATTAATTAAAAAGCTAACTCTTGGGAAATGCCCACCTCGTTCTAAAGTCTTCTACTTTTGGGCGGGAACTTGCTATGCAAGTTTCTTTTGCTACTACTCCGTATTACTCCCTCCGTTCTTTATTATCTGTCTCGCATTCCATTCTGGGATGTTTTTTATTATTTGTCTCTCTTTCTATTTTAGGAAAGTTTTTGATAAAATACCCCCATTTTTTTTACTTTTACCCCTCTTACTTTTTACAAACTACTTTATCTTTCCTACTTTATCATAACTTTACTCTACTTAATATACTCTCTTTCCTACTTTATCATCATTTTATCACCATTTTACTATTTTTAATATACTCTCTTTCCTACTTTATCATTTACCCTACACACTCTACATTTACCCTACTATTTTTCTATTAAAACCCGTGCCCAAGGCTAGCGGAACATATAATAAAGAACGGAGGGAGTATATTAGATAGTATAAAACGGAGTAATAGATAATAGATACTCCGTATGAGTATCATACGGAGTAATAGATTGAGGGAAAAATAAAAATAAAAAATCAAAATGGATTGTAAAATCCAATATCACCCAAAAAATCGGATGCACTACCAAATTCCCCCAAAACATAAAAAAAGTTCAACAATAGGACTGTATAGTATAAATTACGAAATTTATCAATTCAAGACCCGAAAGAAGACGAGTTATCAATCTGGGACCTGAAAGACGAAATGCATCGATATAGGACCCGAATAATAAAAAACTATCAATTTATGACCTGAATGAATAAAAACTATTAATCTAGACCTAAGTTGTCATAAATTTTATTATTTTTTATTTTAAAATTTTTAAGTATTATTTAGTCTTGTGAAATTAATAAACTTTTGTGAAAAAAAGTTTATCAAAAATTAGTAATGGAATTAATAAAAAATTAAATAAATCAAAACTTTTGAAATGTTAGGTCTTAAATTGATAGTTTTCTATCATTCGGGTCTTATATCGATATGTTTTATCTTTTGGTTTCTAAATTGATAATTAATCTATCTTTAGAATCCTGAATTGATAAAATTCCAAATTCCGAAAACAAGACCTCCGATTCCCGTTTTACCCCTGCCCACCTTTAAGATCCGTCCTTTAGCGCTACAGCCTGTCTAATCTATCTTCTTTCTTTTCCCATCCCTACTTCTCCCCAATCTCTCATTATTGGACATCACATATCTCCTCTCCGTTTTGGAGTTTTAAACTTTTCACCATTCCCGGCCGGTGAATTTGAGATGCCGCCGGCGAATCTCCAGCTATTTTGATTTTCAATGTCAATGATACGTCTTCTTCTCCTTGTATTTCTTTCTATTTCTTCTTCTTGTCTGATTTTTCTTATTTTCCATTAATTCTTTTAACAGAAATTGTCCTAAATAGGAGCAAAAATGTTTTGAAATTCCAAAATAGGAGTATCATATTTTTTATTCCCTGAATATGAGTAATCTTCCAAAACATTTTTACTCCTATTTAGGGAATTTTCTCTTATTTTAATTACTACCGAGTACAAGATTCTAACTGTTTAAGATTTTAATTTAAGAAATGCTATTTCCAAACTGTTTTGTTTTTTCTGAAAATGAACGCCCACTATTTTTTTACTATTCCGTAGTTTCTACGAGTATTATTTTTATTTTGAAAATTTTCAGATAATCAACTTTGGATGTGAAAATCTATAACTAAGGTTATACTCTGCAATATTGTTTTAATGTCACTTTCATGAAATTGCTTTTAATGCCACTTTTATGGCATTCCATGGCCATTTCTTGTTACTTGTCAAAAAAATACCATTTTCATGGCAATATTAATTCTAATGTTCTCCGATATTAGGGTTGTAAAGTTGCATCTGGCCATAACCCATGTTCTCCGATATGTTTTATTTTATGGTTTTCTTTTATACTCGGTATTATTAATAAACAAATTCTTCCTTTGATTAAGGGTATATTTGTCAGCACATGTCTTTTTACTCCTACAGACCCATGCGGGGAACACTTAAGTCCTATTATATTTTACTCCTAATCAAGGAATTAACTCTAGCTTCTAATGTCTTTTAGTTTTTCCTTTCTATTCAAACAATTCAATAAAGCTCCTACTTTGATTTCCTTTGACCATAGCAATTAAATGTTTTACTATTTATAATACTCCCTCTGTCTCGAAAAGGATGGCCAAATTTGACTTTCACGTGAATTAATAAAGTAAAAACTGTATGGTTGAAATTTGTGTAGAGGAGAGAGAATTAACTTTAACCACATATTTCTTACTATAAATGGAAATGGCTAATCTTTTTGCAACATCCAAAAAAGGAAATTTGGTCAACCTTTTCGGGACGGAGTAGTAAAATAGTCTTTTACTATATACTCGTATATGTACATATATATACTTCTTTGTTATGGTCAATATTTTCAGGTGGACTGGGATCGTACTTGCTAGGGATCAGCATTCAGCAAGAAAACGTATGAGCTTGCTGGAGTACGTTGAGGCAGAAGCAAACTACATTCAAGTTGATAACCGGTCATCCAGATCCAGCCCATCTCAAATACGTAGTATATCCCTCTCCGAATTCCCAAAGGTATGTACTTTTATAAGTAATTCATCGTTTTAATTTCCAAGATCGATCATTTTGAGTATTCATTCCTGTTTGATCCATTTATACAAACTCTAACACGCAAATATGACTCCCACTTTTCTCCAAATTGATTATTATCATAACTAATAAACCTACTGAGAAAATTGCCCACCCATCGAGCAGTGTCTAAGTTCATTAAACAACACGGGACATTATGAACTTGCACCCAAAATTCAAAGTGATCTTATGCGGGAGATCATTAGGTTTAATTTCTTTCAGAATCAGCAAATTTCTCTCAAACTGCAATGGATCTCCATCAAGCACACATTTCATATCAACCGGATGATAAAAAGTAGGGATAAAGACATAAACAAGAGTAAAACATAGAGCTGGACTCTAAATAGGAGCCGAACTTTTTTAAACCGTACATAGGACTACTATCTACGCGCAAGGACAAAAATACCCCCACGCCTTATTCGTCATCAGTTTCGTGGCCACTGCTTCTTTTAATAGAATACAACCGACCTCCTTGGATTGACTTCGCCGCAACGGAATATCATCACCGCCAAGTTGCCGACGCCACTTCGCGCCGCCTCCGCAGCATCGCGTTGCCGCTTTTTACTGCACATCTTCTCTTTCCCAGTCTTAAGCACTCCTGCCTCCCTAGCTAGGGAAAAAACTATTCTACGTATTTGGCAGATGAAGATCCAAGCTATTTATTTCTGTCCATAAGAGTATGATCCTACTCCGATCTATCTGAGCATCTGGCTGTGATTCCTACATAAGAGGTAAGTCCTGGATGTCCTATGGGCAAGAAGAGCGGCCAGAATGGCAAAACTCGATCTTGTGAGCGTGAGGAAGAGATTAGAGTTCAAAAGCAAAATTCAGGTCTCAACTTGCATCGAGTTCAGCTGGGGTTATCCAAATGGACCAAAAGTGTTGTCTTTTGTTTTTGTGTGGAGTGGACTTAATAAAGATCCACATGCTTCATCAATTGCAGGAGAGAATTTTCTTTTTTTTTTGAACAAGCTTTTTGACTAAATGTTCAAATCAAAGTGACCATGCCCACATAGAGATATTATAAAACATCAGAATATTGTGTGAAATTAGTCACACAATATTATAAATCAATGAGTAAATTATAATTTAGTCATAATTAATTACCTTAAAGAAATAGTTCATTTAATTAAATTAATTGTTAATATTTACAAATGATGTATGTTGACAATGTCATTTTCATAATGGTTGACATTCTTATGACATTGTCATTGGCATTTTTATGACATTGTCATTGACATTCTTATGTAATTGTCATTGACATTCTTATGACAATGTCATTTTCATAATGGTTGACATTCTTATGACATTGTCATTGGCATTTTTATGACATTGTCATTGACATTCTTATGAAATTGTCATTGACATTCTTATGACAATGTCATTGACATTGTCATCATGATTAATTAACATTATACATTTTTACGACATAGTGACTTTTTTATTATAAAATTAACATTGTCATTATAGCTATTGACATTGTCATAATTACAATGTCATTTTATAGCATTGACAATGACATTGCCATTATGACATTTTCTTTACCTGGTGACATTTTTATGCATTGACATTGTGAAGATAACAATGACATTTGAATAGACATTGTGAAAACATATTACAAATGCATAGCAAGATTTGACAATTAGAATGACATTTGAATAAACCAACAATTTCCTTGTCAACGTGAGGTTAATTATAAGAACTAATGACTAAAATGATTAACGAAATAATCATTTGAAGGAACTAATGACTAATGACTGAATATTTGAAGGAAACAAATAACCGTACTGGACTAATGAAGTTACAATTTGAATAAGGAATTAGATAAAAAAAACCAAAATCAAATTAAACAAGAAATACTCCGTATAAAATTAAGCAACACCCCACAGAAATTAAAGAAGCCACAAAAGAACAGGAAACGGAAAGTGCAATTTCGAAGTGCTGTTTTAAGATCCAAAACAGCACGCCCGCGGAAAATATGTTACGGATCTCGGTACAACCGTGAAACAACAACGAAGAAGAAGGGAGGAGGAGGAACGGAGAAGAACGAGGAAGAGATGGGCCTCAGGCTCCATTCACCATCGCCGTTTTCTCATCCCGCCGTTGCGGAGTTTCTGTAAAATAAAGCCCTTCCGTCGTCGCCGTTGTATCGCTATGACGCGATGCCGTCTCCATTTCGGTGGAGCTGGTTGGTCGCGTCCCATCTGTTCACACCGCCTTGCTCATCTGCTACAATGGGAATTTGGAAGTGAATGTAGATGGCCCGGTAGAATTTATCCATACGAAGAGAGAGACTTGTGAAGTTGTAGAGACGAGCAACAAGAATAACAAATAGGGGTAAATTTGGAACACGGGAAAAATGTACTCCTATTTAGAAGTTAAAAAGTAGTAGGTCCTATTTGAGTACATAGTCTTTTTTTTAGTCCTATATGGCACCATTCCTGTAAAAAGTAAAGATATACCTCTTATCACAGATTCCTTTGATTTCTACGTCCTTTCACGGTCTCCACAGTGACGCCATAAGTTCTTTGAACACCGGGAATTTGATTTTCTGGTCAGTTATCTGCACCCCCACCACCGGGACCCGGTCGAGGCTCCTCCATCGGGCTTTCTTCGATGTTTCTGTCATCGAGCTCCACCTCTTCCTCGTCCATGTTCATCTTTCTGTACTGATCAACTATCTTTCCATCAAAGAGCCGAGAAATTGGTTACCAGCCTCGTCTTCCCACAACCCTGACGCCTAGCTTTGTGGTCGAGAAGCGCCGAATGAGAACAAGCCCTCCTTCCTCGTCTGCCTCAAATCCGATTCTCACTGTCGTAGACAACGTCCAAGCCAGCCAAAATCAGACCGATTAAAATGGCCCCGCTCCTCGTTCGCAAGAACGATAGCGGACGATTGATACCCTTGCGGCAGTCGAGCCCTGGCCTAGAGAGAAAAAAAATAAAGAACATTATCTTTTAAATCTTTAATCTTTATAAAAATAAATAAATGTTACATATTATTATTTATATTCAGGGGCGGATCCAGGATTTCTCGTTGGGGTGGGTTGAAAAACTTAATTGATAATACATTGAAAATTTTCAAAATAAGCAAAAAACAAATATAAGAGATCTCCACTAAATTTGTTCTCGACGAAGCTTTGAAACACAAGACTCGTCAACTATGGAGTCTACATCTATATTAAGAGTACGATCTTTTTCAATATAAATTGTCTTGCAATTAGCAAGAAAGTCATTATCCATTTTGCTACGGAGTGTTGTCATTAAAAGTTTCACAGCAGAAAATGATTATTCTATTGTTTTAGTGAAAACAATAAGATCAAGGGGAAAAGGAAATTAATAATCCAACCTTTTAGCGGTCTTCATACAATAATCTCATCTTATCGTTATTCATGAATAATCCAACCTTTGCACCCCATCTTCATTCGATGGTCCCTACTCGGTTGATAACCTGTTATCCCAGGTTTTTTCATTTTCTTTGAAAATCATTCAACCATAAATTTCACCTTTCACAAATCTTCTCCATGCGTTCCCACGTGTCATCTTTCTTTTTTCTTCCTAAAACTTTTCCTTTTATTCCCCATTTTGGTCTTCTTATTCTAATCTTTATTTCTTTTCAATTTTTTATTTTTTCCCAATGTTTATGTATTCTATTTTTCCTTCTTCCCGTTTATTATTTCACTTTCATTGCCTGTTGTCACGTGCTGCAGCGTTGTCATCTTAGTGATGACTTCCCATGCATAAAAAAGTTCTCAAACAATACAACAGACCCTAAAATTGTGTATACCACTGCTCTATGCCCTGTTTATAATAGGGCTTATTTAGAAGTTTTACTCGTACTATTACTTGTATAATGCTAAAAACTAGTATTACGACCCATAAACCTATTTCAAAACTCAAATTATGGGAAACCCTTCCCATCCTACGGGTAGTGGACAACTGTTTACCATGTATAAAAACAAGCTCTAACAGGTTAACACAGACGTGATATATGTTATTGAAGAGCCTCTAGTTCGATCACGCCTAATATATTAAGGCTTATGAACCATGTGATGGTCCACAAACAAACCAAAAAAACGATTGCACACACATTGTCTTGCGCTTGAAACTAGAAGCAGCAACTATGTAGAGGATCAGTGAGATTACGAAAATGGGAGTTGTGAAAATGAGTTTATATTCTGCAAAAAATCGCGAGTAAAGGAAAATAAGTACAAGTGGGTATATATAATTAAAATATATTTCGAATGACTTAACAAGCTTTTTTTAAAACTTAATACTACGTGTGTGTGTATTGTATTAGTTATTACGTATTTAATTTGCAAAAAAATATAATACACATAAATGATACTGGGAGAGTGAAGAGGCGTGGTGCTGCAATTGCAAGGATAAGTAGGACAAATGATTGTAGATCCTGTATTCTTCTTCTATGCAATGTATAGTAACATTTAGGTAATTTTATCAACAATTATGAATCTCTTTTACTCGAATATTCATCTATGATTATGATGTGCTATGATCGTGATATTATAGAATTATTTGTAATTAAAATGAAAAGTCACAAAAATACCAAAGCCTTTGAAATATTTGCCTTAAGTAGAATTGCCCATGCCTCCGGCTTGCTAGCTAGCTTGTCATGTGCTAATTAGCAACGCTCTATATTTTTTATTTTAAACCCGAAGCAACGCACTATATATATATATATATATATATATATATATATATATATATATATATATATATATATATATATATATATAGTGCTATTCCTGTCCGGAATTTCCGGACAGGAGCCCCGTCCGGCCTCCTCCATTTGAGGGCCTTCCCGGTGGTATTTTTTGCTCAAATTTTTTGTGTATGTTCCTCATCAAGTCTAGTTCATCCATACAAAATTTCAGAAAAAATTTCAATCCGGAAGGCCGTCAAATCTTTTTTGCAAGTCAACTGGT